AATACTGATCACTAACCCTATGACGTAGTATGCTAGGATATCATAACAATACTTATCACTAACCCTATGACGTAGTATGCTAGGATATCATAACAATACTTATCACTAACCCTATGATGTAGTATGCTAGGATATCATAACAATACTTATCACTAACCCTATGATGTAGTATGCTAGGATATCATAACAATACTTATCACTAACCCTATGACGTAGTATGTTAGGATATCATAACAATACTTATCACTAACCCTAAGACGTAATATGCTAGTATATCATAATAAAAGTCATTTATATTTTTCATAAAAATGCCAAAAAGTGTTAGATAAGGCAGAAATACCGAAGTTTATTTTTGTGGACTAAACTCTGATGTAAAAAGTAATTAAATATATTTTTCAATGAGTTAAGTAAACTTATTGATACAGGTTTAATACTTAAATTTAAAATTTCATTGTCAACTTTAAGATGCAAAATGTAAACATCTATGAATTAAAGTATAAAACATTTCCCGGAAGAATAATTCACATTTTCTAGTTTGCTTTATGCTACTAGCGGATAGAGGCTGTTTCTAAAGTTCCGCACTAAATATAAAAAAAGAGCTATAGATTTTTTTTGATTTTGTAATTTAAACAAATCACTATTATACCTAAACACTACTGCTCCATTTTCTTTACCAGGTCTTTTAGTTTTTTTGGGCTACTTTTTGTCCACTGTTTACAACTAATATATATGTTTGTGACTTCCCTGGGATAGAGAGCACTTAACTGAGAACATACAAGCTTATACGCAGCAAGTTTCTGTTTTTTTAAATCTACTTACCTTTATTTACTCACTTCAACACAAACAAGACCTTGAACTCGCCACTAAGCCACATTTTGTCTTTCATTTTATACACACAGCCACATACCTCTACCATTTCTGGACACCAAAACATGATACCTAATTGTATTTTTTTCTGTTAAACCAGATATCTTTCTGTGTTTCTAATTTTCAATCCTGTTTCATGAGTGGCCTGAAGTTGTTATACCAGGAAGCTTGAAAAATTAACAACTTTAAAACAAGAAGAAGAAAATATATGTAACCTAAGACAACTTTAAACACCGAGAAAAAATAAGCTGTAGAAGTAGAAAACAATTTACTTCAGAAGTTGAAGGAATTTGTAGGTGGAGAAATATAATCATGCATTTTTATAATATGAAATCACTCCAGGTGTCCAGGTCAGAATACAATATTATACATTCACTCCAGGTAATCAAAATAAATATTATATAATCAATACAGGAGTCTAGGTCAGAATACAATATTATACATTCACTCCAGGAGTCCAGGTCAGAATACAATATTATATATTCACTCCAGGAGTCCAGGTCAGAATACAATATTATACATTCACTCCAGCAGTCCAGGTCAGAATACAATATTATATATTCAACAGAGGAGTCCAGGTAATCAAAATAAATATTATATAATCAATACAGGAGTCCAGGTCAAAATACAATATTATACAATCAATACAGGAGTCCAGGTCAAAATACAATATTATACATTCACTCCAGGAGTCCAGGTCAGAATACAATATTATACATTCACTCCAGGAGTCCAGGTAATCAAAATACAATATTATACATTCACTCCAGGAGTCCAGGTAATCAAAATAAATATTATATAATCAATACAGGAGTCCAGGTCAAATACAATATTATATATTCACTCCAGGAGTCCAGGTCAGAATACAATATTATACATTCACTCCAGGAGTCTAGTTCAAAAAATGTATAATATTGTATGTTGACCTGGACTCCTGGAGTGAATGTATAATATTGTATTTTGATTACCTGGACTCCTGGAGTGAACATATGATATTGTATTTTGATTAGCTGGACTCCTGGAGCGAATGTATAATATTGTATTCTGATTACCTGGACTTCTGGAGTGAATATATAATATTGTATTCTGACCTGGACTCCTGGAGTGAATATATAATATTGTATTCTGACCTGGACTCCTGGAGTGAATGTATAATATTGTATTCTGACCTGGACTCCTGTATTGATTATATAATATTTATTTTGATTACCTGGACTCCTGGAGTGAATGTATAATATTGTATTCTGATCTGGACTCCTGGAGTGAATATATAATATTGTACCTGCTAAGAATGTGTTAAAGGATGTATTATACCAACTTCTGACCACTCTCATCACAACAACTGGACAATGAAACAAAGTACCATTTATTAGTTATATGTTCTTTTAAAAATACCTTCAACACTACTTTGAATGTTTCTATTTTCTCTCAAGAGATAAAGCTAACGAGTTCGTAAACTCTCCGACATTTTTATTTATGTCAACTAAATTTCTGCACACCTGATATTACATTTTTCTTATTTCAAGTTTGTTAATAATCACGACCTCATACCGAGTGACAGAATATGAAAGAAGAACAAACTCGCAACAAAAAATAATAAACATTAGTTACAGTTTGAGGACAGCGTACCTTGTGTCCAATATTTATAAACTAATTACATGTCGGTCACTGGAACACAACTATGATACACAAGACAATAAAACAAGATAAAATAAAGGATCTACACAGAACCTGTTTAGGGCAAGGTATTGAATAAAAACTGTTAAACAGGAAGCAATAACCCCCAGGTACAGTTTAGTTTGAAGAGCAAAATGTGGTATACCCAATTAAGTGGAGTTTTGCATCCAAGTCAGCATTCCTGAACAAGTGATTGTAACATTTATACAAACAAATTCTTTTTTCCATACATTAATAAAACCATGATAAATAAATAATCGTGTTGAACAGATCAAAACCTTCCATAATGTACAGAGTATATAATTTTTAGAAAGAAAACATTTACTTTACTTAACTATAAACATTATAGTGAAAAAATTTAAATACCAAACTTTCCCTAAACACCCACTTCTTCACTGATAATGATTTGTCAAAAGTTTGTACATGGAGCTCACGAATCAATCGGTCACGCTTACAGGAAGGGAAACGCATCTTTTAAGCTTTAACTTTATAGACAATCTGTATATTACATATTATTCATTCTGTTTCGAATGTGCGTATATTATAGTTCGAAGAGGATCAACATTAACTTTTTTAGTCAAATATAAAAAAAATAAAAAAACATTTCAAATTATATATTTAAAATTCCCTCCATTTTACTATCACTTTTAAAATATTTTGAAATCGGCAATATCATCACAATACTTTTATAATAAACTGTATTATGGTGAATGCACAGTTGAGTTTATATAGTTTATACAGCTGAGGACGTACAGTACATGGTACCTTGTTACTCCCACTTATAAACTAACATACAGCTGAGGACGTACAGTACATGGTACCTTGTTACTCCCACTTATAAACTAACATACAGCTGAGGACATACAGTACATGGTACCTTGTTAGTCCCACTTACCATTAACATAGTTTATACAGCAGAGGACATACAGTACATGGTACCTTGTTAGTCCCACTTACCATTAACATAGTTTATACAGCTGAGGACATACAGTACATGATACTTTGTTATCCCACTTATCTGTAACATAGTTTATACAGCAGAGGACATACAGTACATGGTACCATGTTAGTCCCACTTACCATTAACATAGTTTATACAGCTGAGGACATACAGTATATGGTACTTTTCTAGTCCCAGGATAACTTAGCCAACTTAAGTCATTAATTATATATCTAAATGTCACAAAAATCTCCTTAACATTTTCAATTTTTAACAGTCAAAATTTATACCTTTTTTCAAACTTAACAGTGAGAATAGTAGGACTAGGGGACAAAAAATATAAATTTTGGCAAGGTAGGAGTCATCTTCAGCTAAGACAGTTTTATTTTTCTAAGGTGGTTGGCTTTTGGACTGGGTTGCCTTCAGATGTTGTGGAGGCAGTAATTTAAGTTTCAGAGAAAGCGTTATAAACATATGAATGATAAGGGCTAGTTTAAGAATTTTAGTGTTAGTTTAGTTTAGAGGATAGGACAGTCGAGATGGACCAATATGTACCATGTTGTCCCAAAACATTATATCATGTTAATTAACTTGAAACTGTTACGGAGAAGAGTTTTTTGTCCTTTTGTTTTGGCCATTTTACACATCTTTAAAACGTATATAACAAACAAATTACACAAACATCAATAAACCGATGCCACATACTTACTTGTCAACAGAAACGTAGTACTTCCAAAGGCTATCTTCTTATCAAATACAAAAAGTACCTTTTCATATACACTAACTTTCATAACATAGGTCCCTTCTCTACAATCTGTGTTTGAGAATACCAAACGAAGAGAGGCGTTCCTCCCAGATTCTATTGAGTATCTATGTTCTCCATAACAATTGGCATTGTGCTGAAACACATATTGATATTTATCACTTGTTCCTGTGTTATTTTCCAACTCTGCTACAAATGTAAGCACGGAATCAAGTACTGCCGGGCCATCATTGAACACTTTTAGTCCTTGAGACAATGCTACGAGAGATAAAATAAGACATTCTATAATTAAATATAAACAAGATTATCCAAATGTAGACAAGAATATGTGCTGTATTTTATAAGAATCAATATCTAGATTAAAAACGTACCTGAACATTAAAAACAAAACATAGAAGATAACAATATCCAGTCAGCCTGACAAGCTCTGAATTAAGAGAAGCATATTGACAAGGGATATGATAAATACAGTGTGGTTGGAATGTTATTATTATACATCTTCTAATTTGTTGGAAATACTAAAAATTTCTTCAACTTGTTAACAAGTTCCATATTTGTTTTACACATAACAAAATAAACACTATTCATGATGTCATAAAAACACCTAGGTTCAAGATGTCTTAATATAAAACAATAAAACACCTAGGTTCAAGATGTTTTAATATAAAACAATAAAACACCT